AATTTTCAGGCAAAGTTGCTCAAAAAAATAAATGGACCACCCTGAATAACTTTTGATCTAATGATAGGATCTTTACGTTCTAGGACTCAATCCTAATGGTTCGAGGGAATAACCTCAAATATGCTAATGAATTAATGCAGATGATATTTTAAGTTACGAAATAAGACACAAAACAGTTGTTTCTTTGAATAAATATACCTCTTTTCAACGGATTCGGATTTCTGACCCCTAAAATATAGAGAATATCCGAAATCTAGGAAATATGGTCCTCATAGTTTGGTCAGGAGAGTGAGCCAAATTTTTTACCTCTTAATGTTAGTTTCATTTCATATCTCGAGAACTTATTAAGTGAATGGAAAAATTTTGCTCACATTTATAAATTTCGTTTATTCAAAGATAATGTCATGCAAAAAATAGACTATAGTAAATATTTTTTACTTTTTATTATTTTATTCAATAACAGTAGACAAAATTTTGAATTGACGGGTATAAATCTTTTTACACTATTTTGAAATATGTAATTTTACACGGTAAAATACAAAATTTGGACGAAATTGGTTAAATAGTTCCTGAGAAATTTAATTTTAGCTGTATTACTTTTTTAAATTTCGATTTCTCAGGAACTATTCGACTGATTTTACTCAAATTTCGTATTTTGCCATACAAAATTAGATAATTTAAAATAATGCAATAAATACCTTAACATTAAAAAAAAAATTCAATTTTTACTGAATAAAATAATAAAAAATAGCTATTTGCTAAAATGTATTTATTTATAAATTTTTTGCACTGAATTATCTTTGGAGAAACGAATCTTATAATTGCGTGAAAAAAATTTCAATTCCCATAAAACGTTTTTCAGATATAGCGGAATACGCAACAAGTAAAATTAGCAGTAAGGGTCCAAACTTTGGATCGCTTTCATGACCATTCTTCCCAGTTTGCAGCTATTCCCAGTATCTAAAAATCCAATTCCGTTGAAAAAAATTTATGTTTATTTAGAGAAAGTACGTTTTTTGTGTCTGATTTCGTAACTCGAAGAATCGTCTGCATTAATTAATTTGAAGTTACTTCCTTCGAGCCTTAAAGATTGAGATACGAAACGTAAAGATCCGATCATTAGATCTAAGGTTATTCAGGGTGATCCATTTTTTTTGGGCACACTGTACATTCGTAAAAAACTGCAAGTAGCAATATTTTCTCTATTCTGCTTAGTTCAACAACAAAATCATTAAGACTTATTCTTTATGTAGCCCTTGCATTGTGCCATAATGCACATACAAAACATCCGTTTCAGTTTTTCATAGAAAAACACATATTGTATTTTAGTTATGAGTTTTCATTATTTGTAAAAAATATTGTATTTAATACTTTAAGGTTGCATTTTTATTGTTTGAAAACAATGAGCATCATAGCATTATTCGGTATAAATTTGGAAAATGCATACATAAAAGGAATACTAACGCAAAATTGTGCTGAAATAAATATATTTTTCAAGAAATATTTTTTATCATTATTTTATAGTTTTCTTTTTAATCTATGAACTGAATTTTTTTTTAAAAATATGTTTGCATGTCTTAACTAACATGTCATATAACATGTTTTATTTTTATAATTTGAAGGTCTAACTGATAAACTTGACATGTTCAATAAATTGACTGAAAAATAAAATTTAGAACATTTTGAACTCTTTCTATTGGAGTTAGTTATCACCGCAGCCTTAAAATTATTAAACGATTTGATAGATAATCCTTAACTGATTTATGAATAACATAAATCTCAAACTTAATTGCCGGATAATTTTGCCCTGCCTTAGAAATTGCCTTACACCATCAAAATCCTGCAATTGAAAACGAGAAATTGTTCTTTTGTCCGCATCTGTATTGAACAAGAATGGTTTCACCAATTGCCCAATTGGAAACTCTTGGATCAGTACCCCCAGAGGTATTGATTTGTTATGGGAACATGGAGGACTTTGCGACTCGACAGATTTAACGTGCATCAGTCACCATTTACTACACAGGGAGTCTTCGGCCGGTGGGTATCGAGCCCACGAACTCTTGGACATGGGCCCAGTGCCCTACCAACCAGGCTATCTCGTCCCCCAAACAAAGGGTTTGGAAAAAATAGGCGTGGAAGTGTTTCAAAAGCATTTTGATGCTCTTTGTCCAAATAAATTTTTATTTACTTGTACCGTAGCTTTTGCCATTTCTAATTTGTTAACTTTTGTTGCTAAAATATTGAAGTCATTTAAATCTTCGAATACCAAGGATTTTTTCCTTTCACTGTGCAAAGCATTGATCAGTTGTGAAGACTTAATTTGAGTAAGGTCCTTAGCATCAGTTACGGATGTTCATGTTTTAAGCACCAAAACCTTGTTTTTGCCATCAAAACTAATTCTGTGAGTGAGGTTTCGAATAGACTTACCTGGTAGCAAAATATATGATTTAATAAATCGTAGGCAAAAGTTTGATCTTAATAAAAATTGAGAGCTTTTAAGTAGAGCCTAACAAACTAAACTCATCTAGGGTAAAAGTAAAGTAAAGTAGAATATCATTTACAAAACTTTAAAAGAAAAGACTTTATCAGAAAAGACATTTCAAAGAATTTATTAGAGACAGACAAGACAAGTACAATGAAGGTGAATAATTTACATCACATATGTGTTTTCACGTCACAGTAAGTCATTAACATATTAAAATATAACAGAGACGTTACGAATAATTATATGTGCTTCTTACATTTTAAGTATAAGCAAAGTGTTAAATCGCAATCTGAAGGAAGAACAAATATTTTAAATGGATCTCTAAAGTTTACAAGAACTTCTAATTCGATTACGAAATTTAAATTAAAGTGATAGTGAGATTACTTTCTTCACACTTGTAATTAATAGCGCCTGTGCATAATTGAGACAAAAAGTGGTAAATGAAGTAAGGTCTAAGAGGGTGGAAATCTCAAAAAATAAACTTTTTTTCCACTTGCAACCTATATGGTTTTAAATTGCTTTCAATGAGAAACCTCTGTTGGTAAATAAACACAAAATAATCTGGTATAGTTTGTAAAGAATGTATGATACCACTTCTTTTGGAACTTACATGGTTGACCAAATCAGCCGCACGTTGCTTACCCTATCTTCATATGTGCATGCTCTTTTAAATTGAGGAATGGCCTGTGGGTCACTTTTATCACACTCTATTGTAGCATTTATCATTTAACACTTGGAAGTTAAAAACAGTGTTTGCAATATTTGGCACTTCCGTTCATCACCAGCTAAGCCCTCAAAGCGTTCATACTACCATACTCTGTATTTGTTTATGCTTTTTGAAATTAAGAACATCAAGGACATTAAATTAAGAACAGGACAATGAGTTAATTTAAATTCACTGTTAGTTTATCTTATACAGACTTAAAATATAGAAATAAAATGTGTAAATTGGTGTTGCAATTTTTGGCACTTACATCATTTACCACTTATTAATTACTTTGTCTTCTATTTACAAATATGTTTGGATTTACAGTGGACGCCGACGGCAACGTCTAAGCGTATGAATTCTAATGCACATGATTCAAATGCGCTTGTCCAAATGAGGAGAAAGTAAGTTGTTTAGTTGATTCAGATAACTGAAACACAGGGCTCGAAAAGTAACAAAATTTTTACTAGCTTGACCGGGCATGTTTGTCTACACATGTGCCTAAAGATCTTTCTCTTTCTCGATTGCATATTGATGAAAATATATAAAAGTGCTTTTTTTTAATCTCTGGAAAAAAGTGATATAAACAACTTTATATCAACATTTTTAATTATGATTAGGAGGTGTTAAGTTTTACTTTTAAAGTATTAAGTTTTACTAACATGGAAGTATCAAGTATTAATATGCGTTACTGCAGTAAATGAAGAGCATTCTTACATTTTTTAGTGATATTAGAGAGATTTTGTAGTTTAACATATCTTCCCGTATGCTTCCGAGAGTACACAGTGCACCTAACTCAGCATTTAAGTTACTGCGCATGTGCTCCTAAAGTGCGCTTGTGCTAGAGCACTCTATAAAGTCATAGATATAATTAAATAAAAAAATAAGTTTTCTTTAAAGCGATATTTTTTAACCATAAAATTAAAACAACAATAAAAGTATTACGTAAACATTTTGAAAAAGTAAATTTTTCAATAAAATGGCACAAATTTAAATGTTTTTAATTAATTAGTGCAGTATAAAGACTGGCTGTAAACCTTAAAAAAACTGTAAGTCACTACAAAAATAATAAAATGCAATTAATAATTACGTTTATATTTATTTTTAAGTTATATTTAACTAAGCGTCTTAACAAGCATGCACAGTTACTTCAAAACTTATGTACGGGATGATACGCAAAATTGCGAAATCTCACTATTATGAAAATTATTAAGTGCTATCAGCAAGTACATGCTGACGCTCTTCAACGTGTTACATTAAAACGTTATTACAAACATTTATATTAACTATTTCTTTAAGCACAACGATTTGAGTACACTTTTTTTTAAATAAAAATAAGTATTAAATAAGGAATAAAAAAGAAATAGCTAACTTTAATTAATTTTGATTTATATGATATTTAGGTCTATCAAATAAAATCGATTTTTTTTCTCCTTGGAGATTTTTGTCAAACTCTGAGAGTTTTTGTCAAACTTCACTCTTTGAATAATTTACATGCCCGACCAAGTACTACTACAGAGATCACAAAAGATGCTCCTGCAGGGATGTCCTCAAATTCAGCTGTCCGAGCAGGTAGGTAAGGGTAAAAAATTCATACCTGATAGAAGTTTTTACTTCCCTATGTAATTTTCGAGCCCTGATAGATCATCACTTTATGCTAGTCTACCACATAATTTACTTAAAAATGATTATCTTAAAATGCATGTTCTTTTCAGATACTTAGTTCTACTGTATACTGAAAGTGCCATAACATTTAAATTCAGTGCAAAACAAATAAAATATTTCAAAATTTTGTTAAAATGTACTCTATTTTGCGTGGTGTATTGCTCATTTGCTGTTAAAATCATATCAGCACATAAACTATACTTCGGTGGGAAAGTAATCCGCCTTTCTAGCTTCGAGTAAAGGAAATTAAGATATTATACGCTATATGAGTAAAAATATGTAGTAGTATGTGAACTTATGAAGAAAGTAACCAATTTTATTTCTAAGCATCTCTTAATTCTATCAAAATGTATAGATTAAAAAATATTAATATTACATTTGAACATTTTGAATTGAAATCTAGAAAATATCTTATTTAATACATTCAAACATCGTCACAATAGAAAGCTTTTTCTTTCTTTATGAATGTAAAATATGTAGAAATATTAGTGATAAAATTCAATTTCCTTGCCATTGATTTTAAGTAAATGAAAGCATTATGCCATTAGACTAGTAAACCAAGAGGTCAATTTTCTAAAACGTTCACGGCAGGAAGAAAAATTTTTCTTCTGATAAAAGATTTTTTAAGTAGTTCGTTAAGGTTATGTAAAAATACTTAAATCTCAGAAATTATTTTCGATACTTTTAATTAAAATTCCATTCTTAGATATTTGTAATGTATAGTTATAAAAGATTCTATAGTGATATATTTTTGCACCAATTCTGTGAATTCAAACGATTATTTCATGTGATATATTTTTAGAACCTCTAATTTTACAATCTAACTAAACAATGGATAGTGATAGATTAAATGAGTCTATGCATAAAATGTTCAATTTTCTTTTCAGAACAAAATCATATTCAATTATTTTCCGCCTTACGTATGAATTTGTTATTTAGTTTCCTTGATGCTTCTTTTCCAATTAACATTGGAAATTGATATGCAAAATTCCAATCGTCATTTTATATATATTAACTAAGACGTTTTACTTTATGTTCATTATTTTCAAGTTCATTGTTTAATTTGTTTTTATGCAAATTACAACTGACTGTGGTTTTTAACTTTCACTTCTATTCACTTCTTCTTTCCTATTCTTGTTTGCGCTGCATTCGTTATGAAAAATAAAATTGGTTTCAAATTGTTTGCCTCTGAAGCTATTCGGCCTGAGATATTACCAACCAGACGTATTGGCTCATCTGACGTATTGGTTAGACCGTCCTTAATGTATTGTTTAAAAAATAATGTACACATTACACACTATTTTTTTTCAAATTAAAGAAACAAAACACTCAACAGAATCAATAGAATTATCAGTGCAAAAATCATATTAAAATAATTAAAATTAAATTATAATTAATTTTAAATTTCATCTGATAAATAAAAGGTTTCTTTATGCTTTTAATTTTCCTTGTGATCTTATTGATTTCGATAATGATCCGTCAGATTTTTACTACTTTTTTCCTCGACTAAACAGCCATTTATGATGCCAGATATGTAGGATCTTACATTTTCTTTTTCGTCTAAAGATTGTCCTTATGTATATTTAAGATGGTGTTAAAGAACACGCTCTTTACCATCAATGGCTAAACATAGTATGTGTCTTCAGGCGTTTTGGCCAAATATACTACTTCATGTAAGATGTTACTACTTGACGAACCACACTTGACCATAGATATTTATATGAACAGCAAATGAGCAATGCCACCTATATCTACACACATATACACATAAATAATGACACAATTCACAGATAGTATTACAGCTTCCGTCCACACTTGTCAGTAGCATGCCACAAGAACTTTTAAGGCAGTGCTCTTATGTAACAAATCTCAAATTTAGATTGAGGTATTTGACAAAGTGTTTGCGAGCAGTATTATTATAGAAAGTAGTTATGATTTAATGCATTTGACATTAATAATTAAAAAATGATTCAGGTGATGCGAGATTTTGAAACCGCAAAAATGTTACAGTTAAAAAACTGTTTCAATAACATATAGCAATCATAATTTTGAGAATTATTCTTGAAATAGAAAATATTACTGCATGAAAAGATTAACATGATTATAATACTATGCATTGTTAGTAAAAAAATTTCAAAGTGTGTTACATTACTGCTTCATACTTAATATTGAAATTGAATATGATTGAAAAACACATCTAACTTCTTAATATGTAGATCTCTGATTTATCCCTCAGCATGTAATTTTAATGCATAATTTAAAAGTATGTAATATTTCGATTCAATGAAACCATCTCAAACTGAGATAATAAAAAGAAAATTGCGTGTGATCTCTAAAAAGATTACATAAAAATACGCATTATATAGCTACTTTACAGTGTTTAAAGAACATTATAATATTGAGTATTCTTTTACACTAGTTTGAAGAATGTTATAAATGTAATCTATTTGATAAATTATACAGGAAATTTCATTTCAATAAACCACTTCAAATCTATAGGATTATTAATACAGTTTAAATTTCTATTAGTAACTTTCACGAATTCTTCTGCACATAAAACTGGTGTATTAATTAAATATTCATGTTTTATAAATGCAGTTTTTTGTACTAAATCGTGTCATTTCATGGCTTTAAGACAAATTTAACTTTTACAACTACATTTTTTCTATGAACCATAGAAAAGCATACTTTCATTTTTGAAACATTTCTTGAACTGGATTTTAGATTTCATGCCAAATTGAATTTCTACTATAATTCAATAATTTCATTTCAAGGATACTTAAAAATAACGTCAATAATGTAAAGCATATATTCCAATTACAATCACTATTGAAGCATTTTAAAAGAAGTGTTAAATGTTAACTTTGAAAGGAAAACGTATGAATTTTATAATAATATGAAAAAGAATATTAACTGATTAAAATTTGCATTTACCTCAGTAATGTATGCATATTTTTTTATATAATTCCATTGGTTGTTTCAAACTGAATTTGTTGATTTTTATTAATTCTATAACTCAAGATCTAATTAAAATATACCAAACCAAATCATTATTGTTACTTTATATTTAGCTATTTTAATGGAAATAATATCTCACGATTCTTTAAAGTTTTATAATTATTCACCAACCATTTTAGTATATTAAAAATATCTTGAGAAATATATGCTTCAAATTTTCATTATGTATATAATTTTTTAGAACAAACTAAAGTATGATTTAAAACATTTAACTATTCGAAGAAACAGTTGGACTACTAAATATCAAAACTATTTTGTTACCTTTCCAACGAATCCGTAAGTAAATTTTTTCAATAAATAATTTAAAAGTATTATTATTATTTTTTTTTCTCATTTTGGTATTTAAAGTAAGCCATGATGATTTTATAAATAAAAACTAAACTGTAACTAATACCTCCAAACTTAATAAAACTTCTTAGGCTCAAATGATAGGGATCTTCTCCAATTCCCTCTCTTAGGAAACAGCACAACTATTTCTCTTTATCTTCTTGTTCTTGGTCAGGTTGCTGTTCTTGCTCTTCGGTAAAGAATACAGAGGAAGTGAAGTGCGTCGTTTCTGGATCGATGGATTCAAATCATAAGGGAAGTTAGCCTGGGTCAAGATCTCTTTGAAAATTCTGACAATGTTGATGTTATCCTTGGCAGAAGATTCGACAAATCGGTTCTCCCAATCAATGGCGACAATGGTATCGGCAACTTCTTTCTGCACCACCCTTTGCTTTTCCAGATCACATTTGTTGCCAACGACAACTATCGGTGCTTCAGATGGTTTGTGCTCCAACAAAAGCTCCTTCAATCTCCTCACCTCTTCAAAGGATTCGGCGTCATTTATGGCGTAAACAAGAATGAAAGCATCACCAGTATCCACTGCTAACTTGCGCATGGCTGGAAATTCATAGGTTCCACTGGTGTCCAGGATGTCCAGGACGAGTCCAGTGTTACCAACATCGTACTCGCCTCTGTAGAGCTCCTCTATCGTGGGTATGTACTCAGTAGGAAAGTGTTCGTAAAGGAATTGGTGAACGATTGCAGTTTTGCCAACGTGGGCAGCTCCCATGAGGACTAATCTGTAATGGCCTTTGATATCAAAGCAGGAGTTCTCATTAACGCTGTTCAGTAAAGGTATATGTGAGCTGGGCATCTTAAACAAATACTAATGAAGCGTTTAGTTGAAATAAAGCTGTATGATCGACAAAGTTGTGCGAAAGGTAATGGTAGCTAAAACTCGTCTGCGAACACTTCCTAAAATGATAAAAACTTACATTTAATGCAAAGAACTAAAAATAGTTTTAAAAAAACATATGTCAGATTCTTTCTTTTCAAATATATGTCAGATTCATTCAATACAAAGAACTAAAAATAGTTAAAAAAAAAACATATGTCAGATTCTTTCTTTTCTTTAAAATATATTTAAAATGTTCATGCATATGTCTAAATTAAAAATAATATTTACTTACTTATTCAATTTTAGATAAGAATTTTGAAATAATAGTTTTATTGCTTATAATATTTAATTGAATGTGAAAATTAGTTCCTATATTGCATAGCTTAAGTATTACATATTTGTTGCGATTTTCAAGCATTCTGATTGGTGTTTAAAATATTTTATAGTAGTTAAAAAGTCTCATTGTAAAAGAATACCAGGAAGAAAAACACAGATTTTCGAATTAGCCTCTTAAGTTTTTAAACGAAGACGAAATAGTTTATTCACTTTCGTTTCCTTTTTTTTTAATAACATTAGAACTAGATATCTTTCCTATTAACTCAGCAATTTCTTTTTTTTTTATTATTCAGTCTATATAAAAGATTTCTTTTTCTTTGAAAATAAGTCAGAATTTATCTGATGATTCATTTTTTTAAAAATTCACACGTTTGTTTAAATTAAACACTTCCCTTTAAAGTTAATAAATCGCTCTACAGGAACTATGGCAATTTTTTTTTTTATATAAAATGCGTTGCTGTGAAGTTACAATTTACTTCCTAACAAACGTTACTAACGTTTTATTACAGTAGAAATAATTTATTCCCATTCGATTCACTACCATTGAAACCTTTACATTATTCTAAATTTTTACTTCAGTTCATTTAAAATTAGAGACATTTTCAGATTATGTATTTGCGAAAATCTTTTTTAACAAAAATATATAAATTTTTATTTTACCTTATTTTATCAACAATTCTCATTATTTCAAAATGCAATATTTTTCTCATTTCTATGAATATCAATTCATATTTTTATACAAATATTATCACATATGCTTACATTTCAATTACATAAAAATAAAGAAAACAGAATATTTAACTAGAGTACCTTCTTAATAAAAGAAATTCTAAAAGCTGTATTTTATTGCATTTGGTAATATCCTCTCAGAAAAATTGGTTCATGACATTTGAACCATAACACTGTCCAAGCTTGCTGCAAACTTAGTAAAGTTTTAAATTAGGTCCTGTGTCAGTTCAATTCGAAGAATAATATTAAGAAGTACAATAGCATGGTTTAACTGAACATCATATAGAGTTCAAAGCACATTTGGACGATATTATGGTTCATCATGATGGCTTATGAAGATCATCGAAATTTCTTACAATGTATATAATGTAAATATAACATTATTACATACCCAAGTAGATATACAACAAGTACATATACTACAGGAAGTAAGTATGAGGAAAAATGTTTTCGAATAAATTCGAAAGTTGAGCGATTTCCGCAATTACTTTATCTTCTCGTAGCCTGCAAAAGAGATAAAGCAAACGAGGGAGAAAAATGTTGTAACTTATATGAATAAAGTTGTGTTTACCGAATCCAGATTGCTCCAGAATTCATAATACAGTTCAAACAGTTAAAAATTATAAAAATAAGCAATTATTGATTAGCTTAAAATTACAATTATTAAAATACATCTGCAACTGTCAATGTATGCATTCCAGCAAAGTAAGAAACGATTAATATTTAATCCATTGCCTAGGACTAATTAAAAACCTACATGCAATCTATGCAATGCATAACCTAAGTATGTAATAATTCTCATATTTCATACTTTCATTCAATTTGCCAGACTAGACATTTCATAGAATGCCGCAATCCATACATTGACGTTAACATGTATATCAAAATATAATTTTATTACATATTTATAGCTTAAGTATATAGTCATAGCTTATATAGCTATTTAGCTTATATGACTATAGTCTATAGCGTATGCACATTTTAACGGAGCGTTCCATTGGGTGAGCTTCGTGACTTAAGCCTGTGAAGCGTGCTCCAGAATCGCCTGGGTGAAATCGTTGCCGTACTTAATATAAAAATTAAAATCGATTATAATCTTTGAGGGAGAGTAAAAAAAGTGCTTTGGGATTGATTTTGGTAAAATTTACTAGAAAATATGCTTTTATAATATGCGTTAAAATTTGGTAAATGCTATGAAATTTGGTAATTTTATCATGACTCCTTAAAGCATGGCATAAAAAATCATTCATTCCGTTATATTTACTTATCAGGTTTTTTTTTTATTAAATATGTAGCAATGATTTTGAAAACCAGAATTTCTAGCAAACAGTTATCAAATGACCGAAAAAAATTACTAAACGTAGATCTTAAACATAGTATATTTTGGTTCAATTAACCAGAATTATGCTACCTTTATTGGAACTTCATTACCATACAGTATGGTAATTTGACCTAAATTTCTCTCTCCGTTTCCTTTCAACTTTTTAAATCATTACGATATAGTAAAAATCTTAATAAGAGAATCCATTCTGTCTTACTTCTAAATGTCACGTTATTTAATTTACTATTTTAATGTTATGAATTTTATGTGTTAGAAACTTTATAATAAATTCTAAAACTGTCACTTTTTGTGAAAAGCACATAGACGGGCATTTTTAGAATCCGTTTCTAAGTCTTACTTATTTTCAAATCAAGTTGGTTTTTTATCTATTTTATTGTTTAGTATTTTAAGAAACGATATATTGTTAATACATTTTTTTCATCTACAAGTAACAATAACGTTTTTATTAATGAGGGAACGGGGGAAAGTGTGGACAATTTTTCATCAATTTGACAAAAAAGGCTTGCTAAGTATAATATTTTTTTAATAATCTTTATTTTATTAATAAAAAAGTTATTTTGGTCATCTTTATACCTATCAGAGTTAGTGTGTGAACAAATCATCGAAAAGTTTGATCTATAGTTCATTATAAAACCCCAAGCAACATTAAATAGGATTTGGTTTGAATCTAAAAGCAGAATTATGCATAAATAATCTTTAGAAAGTCTATTTTAACTAATGTCAAATCTTCAATTAATGTCAGATCTTCAATAGAGCACAAGTTTTGAACTCAAGTAATTCATTTAGTAGCGATTCTTTTTAATTTATTTTGTACAAAATGTGTTTCCTCATTTAAGTAGAAATAGGTTTTTACTTCGTAAAGTAGCTACCGGAAATTTAGGTAAAGTGTTAGCCATTTCCGAAAAACACATTTTCCAATTACTTTCTTAAAAATATCAAATTTCATAGGCATTTTAAATTATAGGTTTCCTTCATTTTAAATTTTAAAAAAAATCAGATTGAAGATTATTTTTTGAAAGAAATAATCCCGTTTCAAAATTCAGTCTATTCACTAAAATAAGAAAAATATGAAGAAAATAAAAAATTTTATAAATAAATTAAATACGCTGCAAGTTTATTTAAATTCTTAGTACTATAAAAGATTAATTCTTCATTAATTCTTAACTCTTAATTTTTTTAAAGGATAATAAATACCCAAATAAGTTTGTAATTAACAGAAAAATGAATGTCAATAGTAGCTCCATAACTACTTCTTCACCCCCGTGGAGTAATTTTCGTTAATTAACCAATTAATTAAAAAATAATACTCGAAAAAGGACTATATTCACTTCAAAAATATATTCATTCATAATATAATATACTCAAATACTAAAAATGAGAAATAAAAGTATTTAAAGCTACCATAAAAACATTATTTATTTCAATTTGTTTCTAAGCACGAAATATGTCGTCATGAAAATGAAAATGCAAGCATGATCAATCTGTCAATAAGTTTTGCCAATCTGTGCCAGAGATAAATACCAGAGTCATTCCAGCTTTCCAAACCATCCCCTATCCGCCCTGAATAATATTATTTATATGTTATAATTATTATGGTTTAATAAATCTATATTTTATTATGAAATAAAAATGTCAATGAATTAAGTTTAGATCATTTTATTTTAAAAGATAATAACTAAAACTGTTCGAAAATAAATAAATTATGTTTTAATTTAAATTTAAAACTTAAAATCACGTATTTTTTTATTTAATTCTCTGACACATAGTTTATATTTTAACAAAATCAATAGTTTACATTTTACGTAACAAATAAAATAAAACCATAACATCTTACTTTTATGTAGATAAATTCATAATGTTAGTACTTCCTGAGGAAGAGTTATCCCGCCGAGGAAAAATGAATAACAAATTATACAACTATTCAAACAAATGCACACGCTCTTCCAATCGAGGTGACAACAGGTGTTTCAAAAGATAAAAAAGCAATCTCTCGAAAGAAAAACACCTGCTCATCATTATAAAAATTCTAACTTCAGGAATATTGATTTTTGCAAATGCTGATTCACTAATTTTAAGGAGCAAAACGATAATTTACAGTAAAATAAAAAAATGGATAATTATTAGATAATGCTGTATTTAATCGTTTGCTGATTTATAGCCAATTTTTTTCAACTGTCAATGAAAAAAAAATCAAAAAACAGTAATCTGAATGCACCAAATGAAATTTTATCGAATTTTTTTTTCATAGTTCGAATATAATGTGTTTAAAATCGTTTGTTGATTTGTAATAAATTTACTTTCACAACTCTAATACTTTCGACCATGGAATTTAAAATTTGTTACTGTAATCGAATAAACATGAAACTTTAAGAGCTTTTTAGAAATCATATCTGAGCTATTAACTTTAAATTTATTATACATCCTGAATAATTCAAAACTTAAAGAAAAAAAAATTAAAAATCTAAAAGCACAAAATGAAATTTTACAGAAAATAAATTTAGATTTTTATTAGACAGTGAATTAAAAATCGTTTGATAATTTTGAATAAATTAACTTTCATACCTCTTAAATTCTCTCGTATGAGATTTAAAATCTGTTGCCGAAGTATAATAAACATAAAACTCAAAGTTATCTCTCAAATTCATACAAATTACATATGAGCAAGAAGTATAATTTATTTTACATCTTGCAGTGCAAAATATGTTCTACAAAATGTAAATACGAAAGCTTATACGGAATTTTTTTTAGCATATAATTGGTTCGTTTAAGGCGCTTTATATAATATGAGTGGGAGCTGCAAGTATTATTGTCAATTAATCTAATAATTGGAAATTTCTTTGAATCTCTCTCAATAATTCAGACAAATATATTGCTCAAGAATTATCATCCATTTAAACTCATGAAAGGTAAAATCAAAAAAGATATTTATCTTTTTTTTTGCTTACTTTTAGAACATTGAACAATATTTTTTAATGTGTAAAATTTAGAAAACTAGTGTGAATGTGCATTTTAATTTAGTCGGAAATTGGTCGTTAGCAACACCCATGATGTATTTTCTGTGATATGGAGTTTTACATAAAAATGCTTAAAAATTATTTTATTATTTAAACACTATATATTGAATTCTAAAAATGACGATTTTTATGATTTAAGATTAATAATAAAAAAACACGATTTCTTTATTTTTTTTAAAAAAATGCATTACTCATTGATTTGTTTTTTTTTTATCTCAAGCAAAGAGTTCTCGTAAACGTTTTTTTTTCTTCTTTTAAGGCAGCGTGGTACCTTCCATGTAATAAATAAAAGTACAGTTTAAAACGTATAGCTTTAAAACTGAAGTGAAATTTTACAAATTTTATATGCATTAAGTTACACTTCTTTATAAGCATTTTTATCATCATAATTATTTAATTTTTGAATATTTTCTTGTGTCATTATTCCTTCAGTTGAAATTCATAGTTTATTTTTATATTAGCCCAGTAACCACATTTCTGAGAAAGCTCATATGGAATTCTCACCTTAATATACTACCTTATGTTAAAATAACCAATTGTAAAGTCTGTTTGTCAGGTGAAAAAGCAGCCAGTTTGATTTACAAAAAATCTCAGTTCAAATATTCGAATAATTAATTAAATTCATTTAAAATAAACACTTAAATTATTCCATTAACAATAGTGTAAGGAAAATTATGGTAGATTATTTAAATGATGCTTACCTTCCTTTTTGAAACAAGAGAATTCCACAACAAAGCAGTAAATTGGCGTCGAAAATTGAGAAGTGAGCTTGCTTCAATGCACACCATTGGCGCAATTTTCCTTCGGCAATTTTAAGAGACGGTGAAATACCTCAAAAAGAAACTGCCTCTCTGGATCAATTAATTGCCATGAAACTGTCTGCTGATAAACTCGAACAGTTGTTAGAATTAGAATAGAGGATAGATGCCTTTATAAACCTTTCGTTTCAGGTCATTTCTGCGCATGTTCCGATGACGATAACAAACTAAAGCTCTTCGCATAGGATGACAACAATAGACCGAAGACGCTAATAGATTTGGATAGAACAGATGATATTGAAATGTCTTTACAACAGGATGAGAAGAAAAAAAGGTCAGGAAAGAATAAATAGAACTGAAATAGATCTACATTGTCATTTTATAAGTTGTCTGTTAAATATTTTATTTGCTGTATTTATAAATTTATTTTTTAGTTTCTAGAACTAGTTTCTCTTACAATATATTTCCTCCCAAAATAAGTCCATGTGAAAATAAATCACGTGCTGTACTAGACCTAGTTTTTGCATTAATATATTTCTAGTACTAGCTTTTCCTTTTTTTACAAAGATAGAACTATCTCGTGAGACTTATAAGAATATGAGCTTGCGGCACGTGTTCAGGGAAACAAGCAAACAAAAACGATGATCAAGTGATTCCATCACATGCATTTCGAAAATAGAAAAGTAAACACTTCTTAAATTAAACGTATGGTAAAAAATCGCACATTTAGAAACAAAACTGCTGATTTGAAATACATATTTAGAGGTGATTGCATAACATTTCTTACTGGTTTCAAATACTTTTTGTTTTTGATGTAGCAAAACAAAAATACATCTTTATTTATTGTTTGTTCACACAGCATCATTGAACACTCTAGATAGAGTGTTCAATGATGCTGACTAATTGAACACTTTATCTACATGACAGCATTGATGAACATTCTCATTACATGAAAATGTTCATCAATGTAGTGAGCACAGTTTTGGAAATATATTAATTATTGAAAGCAAAGTTATCTTCAGGAACAAAGTTTTAATTCTCATTTAAATTATATGAACAAAAAAACACCGAAATTATCACATGATTAGATATTTCTAAGTTTCAAATACGCTTATTAAAGTTGTTAAAATTTTTATTACTAAAATTATTGAGGCACATCATATCAAACTATTGACTAAATTTTCTTCAACTAGAGACTGGTATTAAGTGAAGTTTTAACTTTTTAGTATGAAAGAATAAGATGTTATAAATTGGCAGAATAATATCTGATATTGGCAACTTATGTTTTAAATGTATGCTAGACTTATATTTCTTTAATTTAAGATATACGGGTAGATGAGAAATTTTTTTTCTACATTGTGAAACGAAAATATTATGTCAATGAAGTGCAAAGCTTTTCATCTAAAAATATAGCTATATTCGCATCTTTATTACCATTAAATGCATATTCAAATCAATAAAACTGCATACATTTTTATAGTAATTTCAATTCGACAACTACTTCAGCAATTACTTCTCCTTCGTGAAATTCATATTGAATGTAATGAAGGAAACATTTTATAACAAGCAGTTGGACAAAGACACTGAAATATTCGATTGGACAACCCAAATTACGTCATCAATGCTTCAAATGAACTCGTTATCAATGTTCCAATCAGGTAATAAATCAATAATTGATCATTGCACAAATCAGTGAAATGATGCATGCTATAGATAATATTAACTCACAAATTCATATTTAAGTGGAAAAAAAAATTACAATCAAAATAGAAATGAAGCACTATTGAGGAATGTAGAACCAAAAAGGTAAAAGAAAATATTAGATTACCGGAGTAAACAGAAGTTTAAAGGTGATTATTAATAACATCTCAACTTTTCATCAGATAGATTTCGATTTTGATATTCGTATAATTCTAGATTTCTTGCTATCTAACTTCACCAAAGAGTTATTACAACATACGGGCTACGACGTTTTCTGTTTGATCGTGTGCCAAAATTTACCGAAATAAAACTAAAACCAACTTTTTCTCGTAAATTTAACATGGAGTAATGGATAAGGCAATTTTACCTGTCAGAAACTCAATATACATATGTATACTTTTTCCTGCATTTAAAATTAATCTTAACAACTTAAAATATCAAAAAAATCAAATATGACGCTAAAAAAAACACTTATTTTGTGAAATAAGTGTTTTTTTTTTCATTTTTATCGAATTATTCATATTATTATGTGCCAAATAATTTTTAGTTTCTTGATGAAAAAATAATTAGTTTTCTTGATAGAAAACTTTTTTAGTCGTATTTTTTGCTAAAAAAAAAAACTAAAAATAAAGTATTAAAATATGTTCAAGCTAATTCTCCAAAATTCATTAGGCAAGTTTTATATACTCTTTCGAGAATTTGGCACGTTTAACATTTAGAATTACTAAAAATCCTGAATGCAGTTTTATTTAATATGCAAGATAATTATTTTTAAAAGGGACTGGTTTATTTTCCGCGATATCTGCCTAAATTGTTAATTTGATAATAAATCTTCTACATTCCATGCACGATATAAAATTTACAATTATACATGAAAATATATTATGATTGTTAAATAACATCACTCTGATTCTTAATGAATTTTTTTACGAAATATTCCTCACTATTAATTTTATTAAAAAAATATTGTTACTATTCGTTTTCACTTAATTTGGGCAAAAAGGAATTCTTGCATTTTATTTCATTTTATAAACATCGTTGAACAACCAACCCAATTTTGAGTTTACGACTATCAATGTAAAACTCGGTAACCTTGTAATTTTGAACGCAATATAAAAGAAAAGGGAATTCCTGGATCAAATATTGGGAGCAATTTTGCCTTCGTCGAAGATTGTTTGATTGTACTAACCCATATTTGTGCTACATGGAGAGTTAGATCCTCGAAACCCTTCCATGGTCAGACAGAACACAAGAGGTCTCGAATCAAGATTGTTTGATTGTACTAACCCACATTTGCGCTACATGGAGAGTTAGATCCTCGAAACCCTTCCATGGTCAGACAGAACACAAGGGGACTCGAATCTATGATTCGTCTATCACTGAGGATATTTCACGTCAGCACAATGGTAATTACGAGCCGGATGCAGAACTCTTATCGACCATCCACCGCAGAAATTTGAACCTGGGACATCTCATTGGGAGGCGAGCACTCTATCCCCTAAGCCGCCAAAATTCTGATGCCTTCTTATAATAAAATAACAAATATTTAAAAACTATGTTTTGCCAATGAATTAAAAAAAGAAAACAATTTTATTTTTGTCACATCTGAATTGCATCATTTTTCGAAAGGCAATGGATGCAGATTTTCAGTAATGATACATTGTATTACGAAAGTAATGTGCCCCATGATTCTTGTTTTGAATCTGACAAAAACTTTTGT